TGTGTGTGTGTGTGTGTGTGTGTGTGCGTTCTCTCTCTCTCTCTCTCGCCCCCCCCCCCTCTGTGTGTATGTGTGTGTTTGTGTTTGTGTTTGTGTGCGTGTGCGTGTGCGTGTGCGTGTGCGTGTGCGTGTGACTACGTGTAGTTTTGATGAGCGCTTCTCAGGGCATTTCAAGCAGTATAGGAGGGAGCTAATGATCTGTTTAAATTTCCATTGCATGTGGTACCTCAAGCGTGTAGTGATGTCCTGCTTCCCTATTGGTAATACGCGGTACCTTAAGTGATGTCCTGCAAAAATGGTACAGCACTCAGTCTGGGGTTATCAGCTGAGAACGTGAAAGTGGCCCGGCGGGACGCATTCTTAGGGGAAAAGTTAGTGATGCCCCCCGCGGCGAAACCTTTGTGGCGATTTCTCCCCGAAATGGACTTGTTGCGTCAAGTTTGCATTCTGCCCCTGCCAGGACAACCACGGCAATCCCGTGACAAGGGTTTAAATCCAAGCAAAAGGGCATTTCACAATCTTCTGGAATTTTTCACATAACGGCCCCTGTGCAAGGATGACAGTCATAAATCCAGAAATGGTCCATACTTTTCAAAAGGGAGAGAAAGTTCACAGGGGTTTTCCACTGTACCGACTTCTTTTGGGGGTATTTTAGGGCATAAGTGTGTATTTTGCAACTTCTTTTCAAATTGGGCCTCCGACCTTCAGGAGGCCTAATCGAAACGGCCGCCGATCATATTTATCAACGGCAGCCGTTGTCAGGCCTGGCCTCCTTAAAATTCGGGAATAGGCTAAAACTGGCCGAAACCAAACGGCCAAGGTCCTGGTAGTACACGGCCCCAGCCTTGCAGAAAGTTTTTGTCGCCACATTCAAAATCGGCGGCCTCCAAAGTGGTGTGGTGCGGGTTTCATACTGACACCCGCGGGCGCTCCTGTAGTGGCCAGTACGTTTCCTAAAATCGCGTAGCGTTAAGGGGCGCGACTTTAGGAAGTACTGGTGGTTTAAGCCCGGTTTGTTATAGAGGCTGGATTATAGACATATATGAGAGTCACCGTCGCCACTCGGCCATGAGGTAGAGGTCCCCCAATCCTATCCTATGGGACTCCCTACCAACCTACCACCTATGGGACTCCCTCCCAACCTACCAGGTCCTAACTCTTTCGTAGTTTCTCGGGGCGCACTCCTACTCCGACTATCCTACCTCAGTCTCTACCCTCAGAATCATCACCCTCCAGTCTGGGGGTGACCTGACTGAACAGTGATTGCAGGACCCGGGCTAAGCTGAGCCGCACACACACCACTCAGCCCCGATTTTTCCCTGGGTACTATTATTATAAACGAGCCCAGCACGCAGGGCAACAATCAAAACATCAATCAAGTTCCAACAGCGCAGCGACGGACAAGACGGGACGTCGTCGGCGGGTGTAGGCATGGATATCATCTCATCTCACAATTACTAGCATAGAACAGGTGATGAGACATCTTCAATCTGTTAAGAAGTTGGCTCTCTCTCCCCAAGAACAGACAGTAGATGGAACTGTCAGAGCTCGACGTGATTCAGAAGTCCATACTCACATGGACTCTATCATGAAGTAACTGCACCTGAGTGAGATAATACTAGTCTCCTCAGTCGTGACCCTGGCTCGGAGTCATGGCCTCAACCGACCTCGACAGCGAGTTGTGGATTGGAGTTCCGGAACCCCGACCCGGGCGACCCCACCCCATACAAAAAGGAAAAATATAAAAAAAACGATTTTTTGGGGGGGGAGGGTTACTCGTGAAAAAAGTTAAAAAAAAAAAAAAAGAATTAAAATTCTATATTGATTGATTGATTGATTGATTGGTGGGAGA